ATGTATTATCTAATATGACCTTGGCTTATTTACCCTGCGCCGTAGGACGGTACCCTTTGCACATTCAAGAATTCAAGAATCATAAAATCTTAATTTTTGTCCATATTTTATCAAAAATATTATGATGCACTTAAATAAACATTTACTGAAAATTTCAGCTCAGTGCGCCTATTACTTTCTGAGAAAAACGCTTTGTGCACGATTTTACCGGACAACCCTCGTAGACTCGTACATGTATTTTTAAATTGGGTCACAAGTCTATGTTAGGTTATTTGTGGATTAATTTATCATCGATACCCGGATGTACTGTATTAGATACGGTAAATTTATTACATTTGGCTGACTGTGTATTCTTTATTTAGCACTTTTGGTGAAAAGCGATCACCGCTAATTCAAGTGTAATGCTAAATGCCTCGCTCATAAACCTATGAGAAAAAAAACCATTAAGAAATGCGCTTAATCAAATCCGCCTTTACTTGTTCAAAATCCAATATCCCCCAAATATCGTATGCCCTAAATATGATATATTTACAGTAAATGGTGCGTTAGTAGTTTTCTGTCGCATATCATTTGTTACATGAATTTAAACATAATAAAAGCTAAAAGCTTAAGAGGAATGAAAGCACAAAGTACTGTTTATTGCAAGTATTTCCTCAGCATTGAAAATAAACAAACTGGCCTATAGTGGAATTGTAATATCGTACAAAAAGTTTTCGAGATGCTACGCTTACCATTCGTATTTGATGTTGACAGATATTTGAGATAGCAGGTTGTTTAATCAAAAGAGGATTACTTTTGTTTTACTTCCTCCTTTTTTGAAATGGCTGCAAAGTGGTGGATGTGGTTTATTTGGTTTCCAGCAGTTATTCAATGTTACAGTAAGTTTCTGAAATTTATTTGACAATTTGTAATTGAAAAACTGAAGTTTCAGCAAAAAATTATTCAATTAAAATGAATAAATGGCACCAAGCATCCACGATTTGATTCACTTATCCATGTTGTCCTAAATATCTGACGTTTTCCAGGCTTTTTTAAGGTTTTAATATTTTACGTGCCACAAATATATCAGAACAGACACTAAACTAAATCAAATGTCAAACTTACAACTTCTCATGATCAGTAGCACATACTAATTTCTCGCACTCACCAATCAATGAAAAGAAAACATTTCTGAACATGCAAGACTTGTAAAGATTTTAAAATGCACGAGATAAAAACAAACCTCAACAGTCTGATAAAATGTTTCATCTTATTGTATATTTTATGAATGATCCATAAAAAAGATACTAGAAATTGTAAGTTTGACCCTTAATTAGAGTCGTAAGTATGTAATGTAAAGTCAGCTTGATGATGCCGATAATGCCGGCTCGAGGTGGGAAAAGACCACCAATTATTTTCCCATAGAACTATATACAATCCTTACTCCATCTCAAGACTTTTCTATGACAATTTCAGAAAAATCCTTAGCATCATTTAAAAATTCGTTCTAAGCCCTAACCAAAAAAAAAACCTGAAAATATATGGACCCATGGCGTATTGTAGTTCAAATAACACTTGTTTACACCTTATATCGCTCAGCAGAAAATAACACGCTACATCAAAAGCCAACCCTACCACACTCTTAAAATCTTCCCTGGAAATTCTATAGTTTCTATAATATTCCCTCATCCCATCATTTATTTTAAAAGTCATTATTAATTTTTATTTAAAATGAAAATGATTTCAGTCAATGGCGTTACGGCCACACATTCAGTACTCTATTCAACATTCCACCACAATTAAAACCATGTGTTCATCCGGGGATTTGGTGCTCTCATCCCCGAGACCTGTTCAGCAGAGCGAACGTTTGCTGAACGTTCGCTCTGCTGAACAAACCTCTGGTAGCTATATCGATGGTGTGTTCCTCGAATGGCTACTCGGAAAAAACAACAAGTAATTATCACACTCAATTAAGGGGCCCTCTAAGGGGTACAGGTAGACTTTCCAGTAATGGCAATACCATTGTACCTTTAATTGTACCTGGATAAGCAATATTTAAACAATTAGATATATTCATTCAATTTCATTTTTATTCAGAGGCTTTTCTTCAGAAATATACTGAATAAAGAAATAAATAGATAAATATAAATAGATAAAATTAAGATTTCAGAAAAATATTTTTTTATTGTACCTTTAATTTTTTTTTTCAAACTATTCAATAGTATTGATTGAAAATTTACAAACTATTATCCCCTTTCTGTGCTACATTTTCAAACTCTTTTAAATACCAAATTAACACATAAAATAACATATTTATGTATGATAAATTAATTGTTTCTATAATATTTTGTCTAATTTAATTCATTTATTATTTATCATTTTTAATGAAATAAAAGTTAACATTCTTTAAATCATCATAAAATACAGAAGTTTATATTTCATTATAAATCAGGGTTTGACATTTACGCTCGTCACCTCGTCATTTCCATCCAAAAATGATTTCGGACGACCTGATTTTCAGTCTGGCTCGCCCAAATGACGACCTGGGACGAGGTGGGAATATTTAAAATTTTTAAAATTATTAACATGATAGGGCCTTGAAAACATATTTTCCTGTAACCAAACCAACCCATTTCATTTGTTCAAATTGCAGCCGCGTAGATTTTTCTTCCTGCCAAATCTCAGATCAATCATCTGATGCAACTTTTACCAAAAGTCTTTAAAAAAGTTTTATTTGAGATATAAAATACAACTTAGTCATAAATCACCTTAAATATAAAGAGTAGTAATAATCACTGTAACATATTGCATTGCCCCCTACAACTTTCTTTTTGCTAAAATTTTTATTAAGAAATATGTATACAAAATATTTATTCATACTAGTGCTAAAATAAAAGAAATAATTAAAAATCCCATTTATTTTATTTAAATTCTTGTAGATTATTCATACAGGTAAGTCTACCTGTACCCCTTAGAGGGCCCCTTAATTGAGTGTGATAATTACTTGTTGTTTTCTCCAAATCGATATGGTTTATTCCCCGAATGGCCATTCGGGGAATAAACCATATCGATTTGGAGAATTACCAGTTTCGTAATGGCGCCAGTTCTGACGTTTTCCTGGCATGTAAAATATCAAAATAGTTAAGAAAGCCTTGGAAACGTAAGATATTTTGGACTATTGTCCATGAAGACAAAGTAACATTGCTTTAAGTGAGGAATTACATGTGCCTTGTTTTCATGACAAAAACCGTCATTTTCGGCCTTTGCATGTGTTTATATTTATGCGTGTTTATACGAGGGTTGATCCGAAAGTAATGTCACAGTGTCTATATCTTTTATATTTGGCGTCATATTATCAAATACTATATACCAAAAGATGCACAAATATAAATCTAATTAACATTGATATTTTAATTTAATGTTTATTTGAATTTATTTTATAAATGTTTAAAACATAGAGCATAGAGGTGTCGCCGCGTCACAATGGAACGTCACGTTTTAAAGTGTATCTTTTCTTAGAATGAAGAAAACAAACACATTATAATGATTCTAAGAAAGCATTCAATCTCCAATTTTTTAAAAAGATACGATTCTCGTTATTTTTCAGTCTTTAATTGAATATTAAATGACGGCATTGGTATTTGTGATCAATAATTGTTGTTTTACTCTGTTGAATTGAACAAAGGGATTGTCTAAATGGGGATAAACGGCTCGACGAGTTGTAATGCAATTTTGCTTCAAAATAATGGAATCATTTCAAGCGACAGTTACATTAATTAATCAGACTTACAGAATAAAGAATATAAATAAGAGACATCTTAATAGATGCTTTCAGAAATTTTGAGCGGGTGATTGGTCACTGAATGATCAGCAGAGGACAGGAAAATCGAAAGATAGGAGATCAGACAGAAAAGTCCAATGGTGTCTGACGTTGTAAAAAAGACAGCCGTATAGAGTGACATGTGAATTTTTAAGTTTGTCTTATGATACTGTTCAAAACATTTTGACAGCGGGCTTAATTATGAAAAGAGTGAGTGTATAATGGTACCAAGAATTCTTAAAAAAAAGTAGAATTATTGAAAGACTAGTGTTTACGAATCACAAATATCTTTTAATGAAACGACGGGGAAACGCTTAAAAGTATGACGGCGTGTATACGACACATGACGTTATACTTAGGTGCGGCGACTACCACAAACGTAAATTGTTTAAAATCCGATATTTTGAAAAGTATGCGTCATATTCTGTTAAATTTTTCACATCCGATTTGAAATAAATAAAGCTTCCATCATGTGTAATTTCGTTGCTTTACGTCGATTAATAGCAGCTTTATCAAAGTTGTGACATTACTTTGGATCAACCCTCGTATAAGATCATATAAATGCTCGCAAAGCTCTCATCAATTGATAAACGCTTAATTTTAAATCCACCATGTAGATGAGAAAAATCTGGGAAAAAAAATAAACATGATTGGTAAGTAGTGGGGTCGGTGGTAGGAGTTTTACACAAAAATTCCAAACTTTTACTTAGGCAATTACTTTTTAACAGAAAATACTAGGACTTTGATACTTCATATATTTAATTTTTGAGGCAAGGCCTTTCATTTGCTACCAACAACTTTGACTTTTTGACCTTTGCCTTGGAGATTTCTGTACGTATGAAAATACTTTAATCTTGGCCATAACTTTTGAGCAGTAAAGGACAGGGCTTTTATATTATACAAATGTAATCCTTGTGACAAGACCTTTCATTGGATACAAGAACTTTGATCTTAGAGTTTGACCTACTTTAAAAAACAAATCTTGACCATAACTTTTGAAATGTTAGGGCTAGGGCTTTTATACATCACATATTTAATTCCTATGACAAGACCTTTCACTGTATATCAAGAACTTTGACCCTTTGACCTTTACCTCAATGTTTGACCTACGTTTTAAAAACTTTAACCTCGGCCATAACTTTAGAACTTAAAGGTTAGGACATTTATACTTCACATATGTAATACTTGTGACAAACAAGACCTTTCATTGGATATCAGGATCTTTAGCTTGACATACTGTTTTAAAACTATAACTTTTGCCATAAGTTTTGAACAGTTAGGGCTAGGGCTTTCATATTTTACATATGTTATACATACATGTAAAAATAAAACTAGTAAATTTACTTACCTGGTCATTGATCATTAGCAAAATCATTTTGTTAATCAAAACACATTTTGATTGCACACATTAGTACTCTGAAATTGACATCAAAGAGATGCTTGAGTTACTGATTGAAAATATCTATGTGTTTTTTTTTTTGGAGACAAGGTATTCCAATAATCTATTGGAATTCCCATGGGTACCAATTGCGCTCCGTTATTAGCAGACCTATTTTTATATTCATATGAAGCAGAATTTATGCAAAGTCTTAGGCGTGAAATTTTATCGATTAATCGTTACATCACTAGTTCCAATATATATTTGATTTGCATTTAAGAGAAGTTTAATCTTCGCTATGTTGTCATACGTGGTCATCAGTGTTTCACAGACACATCTTGTTCCTAATAACTTTTGATTGAGAAGAGATACGGCTTTTATATTTGACATGTGCCTTATATACCTGTGACAAGATATTTCTGGTCATGCTATGATTTTTGACCCCTTGACCGTGACCTTCACGATTGACCTTATTTTTTTTTATCAACTTTGGTGATAATTTCTAAATGACATATGATAGGGCGTTCATATTTGACACAATATGTCATATAAATTGACTTATCCCAAATTAAAGACATCGGAAGCGGGGGACCACAATTATTTGACTTTGCTTATTGATGTTTTAATATTTAGGCACAGCAAGGTTTGTTTGTAATCAAAATGTGGGGATATCTGTTGGAAATGGAAGCGAAGACTTAATTTGAAATATATCGTTGAATTCAAGACAGAGAATTTTCATGCGATGTCCTCAGCATCTATTCCATTGTTGTCATACATGTACTTCTCTTTGGGAACCCACAGTTTTACTCAGAAATAAATCTTTGGACACAAGTTATGGCTTTGCAAGTCCGTGCTGGGTATCATGCATAATTACTAACACTAGCTTGTATGCTACAGTTGAAAAATTAAAGTATTGAATTCTTTACCCTACTTCAAATAACCCATGAAAAACTTCACGGGAAGCAAATAACGTTTAGGGCGTATGTGCTGAAAAATACTTGTTGTTGACATAATTAAGGTAAACATGAATCACATGGGATATTTTGTTGTTTTTTTTTTGTTTTGTTTTGGTCTTTAATATAATCGATGTCCATGTGTATTTTGTTCCATCGATATCAATGCAAAAGTTTTTTTTTAATACATGTAAGAACGAAACTATTGTAAGAATAATGATTTGAAAATAAACAGACTGAAATATTTATAATTTACCATAAAATACTTTATCTCTTTTGCCATAACTGTTAGGAAGTTGATGTCCTTGTAGTAATCAAATTTTGACAATCCACAGATAACATATGTGAACCATATAAATGTACAGCAACACAGAGCTCTACAAAAGATGCTTTATCAGCAGATAAAGTGATCGATGAAGATAACCTACAGTTCTACGAAAGGTGCTCACATACAGCTGAAAACGAAACAGGGCCAGCATGGGTTATCGTGGACCTAGGAAAAGAATATAGACTGAAAAACATAACAATCTTTTATAGAGATGAGAGTAAATATGTTCTTTTTCTCTTTTCACTGTGTCCGTACTCGCTGTACTCTCAATTTCTGTTGCTAAAATTGATTTTGGGCATAATATGTGTTGGTTATCTTTATATTTCATTCTTAATACAATTCGAGATGTTCAAGAAAATCAGATGTGGTAGGGCAATCTCTTGAATTTGTGATCAAGAGGCCCGGGTTCTATTCTCATTCGCCCACGCGAAGTCAAAAGTAGATAGTCAACTATTTTGAGGATTAGAATATATACGGCTCCCGGTAAATTGACAAAAATTTAATTTCAATCAATGGGGAAAAAATTTAAAGGTGTAATTACGCCCAAAGGGGCAATAACGCGGAAGAGGTGTAATAACGCGAGATAGGGCATAATAACGCCTTTTAGAAAACCAGCATGTTTTATCGTTCTGTCATCGATGGACAATTGTTTTTGGTAAGCTGCTATGTGCAAAATAATAACATTGCCTTATTATATAGATTCCTGGGACATAATATCTTCTATTGTAGTAAGACCCACCCATTCTCTTTCATACAAGAACATATTGTCATAAACCAGAACGAATTTTGCCGTAATAGGATTTAAGAAATCAAAGATCATGTAGTATGCCTTATAAATAAACTGTGTCGGAGCTATTGAAACTATTTAAAGAGCATCTTATTTATTCCTTCATTTTAGAAAAAGTTTCAAAATCATTCTAGATTAAATATAATTCTTCTTTGAAAAAGGGGCCTCTGATAGTAGTTATGTCACCTCATTCTTTCACAATTTAATATTTAATGTATTACATTTACTTTACTGAAAAGAAAATCTCTAGGGAAAAAATACAAAAAAAAACAAATTTGAAAAAATATGATAATTTGGCGCGTTTTTCAACAAATTCCCATAGGGTCCAATTGCAAAATTGGACAACTTCTGAGATTGCCCCCCTAGAAATCGGAATAGTAATTTTTTTTGTCCCCCGCTTGAAAAGTGGGGGATATTAATCTGGGTTTGTCCGTCCGTCTTTCTGTCTGTCTGTAACGCTTTCGTTTCCACACGATATCTCGAGAACTCTTTGAGCTTTTGCTATGAAACTTTGCATAGCAACTCCCTGTGGACTAAAAGAACCCTATTGATTTTGAGGTCAAAAGGTCAAAGTTCAAGGTCATAAATAATCAAATTCTGTCTGTTATAATACTTTCGTTTTCACACGATGTCTCTAGAACCATTTGAGCTATTGCAATGAAATTTTACATAACAACTCCCTGTGGCCTAATGAAGACTCCTATTGATTTTGAGGTCAAAAGGTCAAAGTTCAAGGTCGTAAATTTATATATTCTGTCTGTGTGTAACAGTATAATTTCCGGGCGATGCTTCAAAAAGATTTTCATCTTATGCAATGTAATTTTATACCAAAACTCCCTAGGACCTCTCTCACCCCTCTCAAAGTGCCCCGCCCCGTTTGTTTTAAAAGTATTTATAGTATTTCATGTCGCTATTTTTAGCACAGAGGCATGATGAGAGTTATTGCGTATAAAACAGGTTCTCGGCGGACGTTACGTTCTTATTACATCTATTAGAACTGTTTAATAAGGCCACACCAATAAAAATTCTTGTTCGTCGGACCCGCCCGCTCGTATTTTAGAGAAACGTAAAAAATAATATAATTTTAAATTTCCAGCTTCCGGAAATTTTCGTTCCATTTCCCGCCAGTTGAACCACAGTGCATGCAAGTTGTAGGTAGGATCGTTTCCACATCAGACAATTCTTAAACAGATTCCGTGTTTACATGTACTAATTCCAAGCTATAGTGGATTAGCCAGAATGTTTTAAAACATATTTGATACTTTATTATACCCTCCGCTTGAAAAGTGGGAGAGTATATAGTGATCGGGATTTCCGTCCGTCTGTACGTCCGTCCGTCTGTTACGCTTTATCTCTTATATGCAACTCCTCTTATACTACTGAGTGAAATCTAATGAAACTTTCACAGAATCTTTATTACATATTGCCATTGTGCACCTCCTATTTTACTTTTTTTATTCGACAAGTATTTTAGGTTTCCCATAGCAAAACATGGACATGGCCATTATATATTTAACTTTACAGATGAAGTGTGAAGAATTATCGGTACAAATACAAAAATTTAAGAATTCAGAGACATATTTGTAAGCATTTTCAAATGTCAATGGCTGATTTTCAGAATCTGGGGATGGAAGTACCTTATGTTAAATAAAACAATATTAATTGAAATGTTTACAATATTTCCAAAGATATGTGAAAAATCAATTCAAGAAATGTTTTTGATTATGAGATTACTGATTTTTTAAAATTGTGGTTAAGGTGTAGTTTAAAATATATTTTATTCAGTGAATAGATTGAACAGCAGGAGTAAATGCCTATCATCGTTCTAGGTGGTTAATTTGTCAGACAAATAGAAAATTTTTCACATTTCCTTAAAAACAAAATTGAGATTTACCATTTTTCCATATATTATTTTATGATTAACTTTAGATATGAAGTTTGTAGGATTATCTTGGGTAAAACACGTTACTTTCAGAATTAAGGACAGTTGATATAAACAATTTTTTTTCTTTGAAAAAGATTTAATATCATGTCACAAGTTTAGAAAAGTGGATAATTCTTAGAATATTTTCTCCTAAGAATTAGAAAATGAAATAGACTAAGAAAATATTAGTAATATTTCAATGAAAAAACAAATATAGACAAATCACATAAAGTAAAGGTTTACAGGTGAAAACAAATTTCAGAATATGTTACCTTGTTGCTAAAAGTGTAGGATAAACTTTAGAAAAATATACCAAGCCAGATGAATTTTAAGAGAAAGAACAAAATGACAAAAAATTAGCAATATCACATAGGCTGATTTTTACAATTTAGCTTTTCCTAATAAAATTCACCTGGTTTGGTATATTTTTCTTCAGTTTACAATACACTTTTAGCTTGAAGATAACATATTCTGAAATTTGTTTTCACCTGTAAACCTTTACTGAGTGTGATTTGTCTATATTAGTTTTTTCATTGAAATATTATTAATATTTTCCAAGTGTTTTTCATATTCCAGTTCTTAGGAGAAAAAAATCTAAGAACCATCCACTTTTATAAACTTGTGACTTGATATTTATTCTTTTTCAAAGAAAAAATTTGCTTGTATCATCTGTCCTTAAGAAACATTTTTGTAAGCATTTTTAATAAGTCAATGCCTGATTTTTAAAACCTAAAAATCAAAGTACCTTAATTTAAATTAAACATAACTGAAACATATAGAGTATTTTTAAATTAATGTGGAAAAACATTTCAAGAAATGTTTGTAAATATTTGATAACCGATTTTTTTAAAACTGTGGTAATGGTGTCAGACAAGGAGAAAAAATTCATGTTTTTATTTTCAGTTTTATTCACGACCCTAACCTCACTCGACTTAATTCGTCATTTTATCCAATATCATTTTATTGACATGGCAAAGATTTGAAGGACGTTTTGTAAATATTTTTATTGGTATTTTTAATTTATTGGACATTATGTTTTATGCCCCTCGAAAACTCTGTAAAAGAGTTTAAAATTATGTAAATATTTCTATGTTTATCAAATTGTTCTTAAAAGTCTTTGATTTTTTTTAGCTTTAATTGACATTTTCATTATTGTGTAGAAAAATGTACAATTATAATTGAAAATATATATGAATGAAAGTAATATTAAACAACGTATTTTCATTATTTTGGAACCGATGAAAAGAATTTCAAACCCTACCGAATTAGGAAATTTAGCCTAGAAGTATCCAATGCATCTAATTCCAAAGACTGGACACAATGTCACAAAGATAACACTCCAGATAAAAAAATACCTCCAAGCTTGCAGAATATTTCATGTGAAAAAACAGCAAGATTTATCAGAATTATAACAACGTATGATGCTCCTGAAAATCGTGAATATGGAATTGCAGGTGCTACCCTTGAATTTTGTGAAATAAAAATTTATAGTAAGTAAACCTCATCTACAAACTTTTTGCTTGTACGCGTACGTTTTAAAATTACTTGGTCGTACAAGAAAGAATATTGGTATTAAAAATGGAGATTTGTTGCATTTAATTAAGGGCACATGCTGAACATGCTGAAAGTTTAACAAATAGTATTATACATCCTTACGTTTGTACAACGGTAAAGATTTCTATTTTTTATCATTTTTTTATGATTAAAGCATCACTTTCTATAAAGTACAAAGTATGCAAAACAATTAATAGCTATTTTGTTTTACATGAACTATGGTATGCCCTGGCGAAATTGAAATCCTTTAATGACCTACATTTAGTACATTTATCATATGTATTTATCACGTGACTGTCCATCGAAATAAACTTAATTCAGTACAGAGAGGTCATATTTTGTTATTTCAAAACGTGTTTAACTTATGTAATAATAAAATGGCTTTATAAAATAAATTCACTTTGAAAAAGTTCCGGATGTTTTACATCTACATTCCGTTGATATCTTATACTAAGCCTTAACAGTGCTGCGTTTTTGATCACCCCTTTTCTTCATCAACTCAAGAATAAAATGATAGGCTTTTTCATGAAAAAAGATTTTAATATTAGAAACATGCAATAAAAAGATGAACCATAATTTTTCAGCTGAATAATTTTCAGCAAAAATGTTTTTGTCAATGTCTACCTTAACAAAACTTCTCTGTTCGTGTCTTTGATATATAAACGAATAAGTCACCGAATCTTGTTAACCCGGCTTATATATATGATTTTTGGAAGAAAGAAAATAATTTTATAGCTAGCCAGTTAAAAAAATTCCTTGTAAACAACCATGTTAAAATTTGGAACCGATTGTCCAAATACGACTCGAACGATTTTTTCTAAAAGAAGAGGGTTTGGTTTGGGCTTTTTTGTGCCCTGAAAATCTGATGTTCATAAAAAATTATGACATTGGATTTTATGTGAGTTGAGTGGCTAGAGGAATATGATTGATAAATCATTAAAAAATATGGCATGAAAGAGGACCATTTTAGAAATAATTTTTCATTTATTTGTCAAATTTCTATGTTTTAAGCAGAAAAGCCTCAAAATGCTCATATTTATGATTATTTCCCTTTAGAAATTAGTGTCCACAACCGTCGCCTACTATTTGGTATGAAAGCCCTAGACCTTACAATTCAAAAGTTATGGCAAAGGTTAAACTTTTTCAAAAGTAGGTCAAACTCCAAGGTCAAAGGGTGTAAGTGCTTGATATCCAAGGATTGATGTCGCAAGGATTTAATATTTGAAGTATGAAGGCCCTAACCCTAACCCTTCAAACGTTATGGCCAAGGTTAAAGTTTTTTGAAAAGTATCCCAAACTCCAAGGTCAAGGTCAGAGGGTTAAAGTTCTTGATATCCAATGAAAGGACTTCTAAGAAGGATTACATATGTGAAGTATGAAAGCCCTACCGTTTTATAGTTGTGGCTAAGGTCAAAGTTGTTGATATTCAATGAAAAGTCTTGCCACAAAAAATAGATATTTGAAATATCAAAACCATAGTAGCTACCACTTAACATTTATGGCCAAAGTAAAAAAATTATTATTTCTCTGTAAAAGAGGGTCAAACTCCAAGGTTAAGTCAAAAGGTCAAATTTGGTGGCGTGCAAAGAAAGGTCTTGTCGCAAGGAATACACCTGTGAAATATGAAATTCATATATCGACGCAATCAAAAGTTATGGGCAAGGTTAACGTTTTTGTGACGGACGGACAGACAGACCTAGAGACAGACGAATGAGATTTAATGTCCCATCGCTTTTGCGAAAGCGGGGAACAAAAATATGTCAGAAAAATGAACAAATTCATTACGTTACAATTAGCATTTAGGAGGACACATGAGAAAATGATGTGTATAATCCTACTACATGGGATTTCATCGATTTAAAAACATCAATTTTAATTTCTTACAACACTGTAATACTGAAAAAATACTGGGTGATATTTACATGGAAATCGTACCTTGTTCTTTACGTGTTTCACTGAATACTGCATATAGACATCTACAATGTACAAACTATACAAAAGTAACAAAAATTAAAAAATAGAAAATGTATTTAGATTGTGTAATGTGCATCCTATGAAATATCAAAGGAATTCGCCTTTACCTCATACATTCAACTAAAAAAAATAAATACCCTTTTTGTGAAGCTTATTTTCTATATGAAAGATATCCATTTTTTTATTATTATATTCATAATGAAAGACAAATCAAGTTTCAGTCCAGAATATACTTTTCAAGATGCATCTCTTTCTTTACATTGCTTAAGGATTCGTTATGCCTTATCTTTCATTGTTAAAAAAGAAATAAAGGATTGAACACAAAAACTAATTGCATTATTTTTTGATCCGCAAATACAATTTCAAATGAACTGTGTTTCCTATCATCCGATCAGAAATTGAACTAATTCATTGTTTAAAAAAGGAAAGAATGGTCAAAAGAACACTTGAAATAAAATATTAATATTATCAAAATATTACAGCACACAGTATATTGATTTTCAATTACAAGACTGTGTGTATAAGACCTATTTCAAAATGTCACTACTGTTGTTAAAGAAATCAGACATCTTAACCAACCCATATACTTGTCAGAATAACAAGAGAACTAAAATTGGTTGTTTAAATCTTTGTTTAGAAAGCTGTAGCTCAAACTGTGTTGACAAAGAATGTGACGCAAATGGAAACTGTATAAAGGCTTGTGTGCAGGGATACTGGGGATACAAATGTCAAGGACATTGTCCATCAAATTGCAAAATGGGATGTGATAGAATAAATGCAGACTGTAATTCTTGCCGCAACGGCTACTGGGGGAAGAAATGTCAGAACGAGTGTTTATCAAAGTGTTCAGAACTGATATGTGCAAAAAAATCGGGATACTTTTTGTGTAGAGGATGCGTTTCCGGGTACTATGGAGCGTATTGCAATCAAGTCTGTGGAAATTGCAGCACTGGTAACTGTGAGAAAGACAGTGGAAATTGTAAAGCTTGTAATTCAGGCTTTTACGGAGCAAAGTGCAAATCATTATGTACCAAGAGCTGCCTAGATCATGAATGCAGAAAAATAAATGGACATTGTAGTAATGGTTGCAACAATGGGTTTTATGGTCCATTTTGTGATTTGAAATGCAGTCCTAACTGTGCACAATCAAAATGCTTTCAAAATGGAACTTGTATTAATGGATGTAAACAAAACTGGACAGGCGAACAATGTGATGGTAAGTTTCTTGAATTTTCACATTGTTCTTTCCTCACAAATTATTCAACGTAATACTAGATAGATAAAAGTATGTAAGATACAGTTACAGTAAAAACAATAAATAAAAAACGCATCTGGCTCCTTTATAAAAAATTAGTATAAATCAAAAACAATTAAAAGATTTTAACAACACTATTTGAAATTTGTTGCAAATTAATTAATCATGATAAAAAAAAATGATGATAGCCACGGCATTCAGTATGTACCATGCGGAAATGTTAAATTTCCTCCAAAATACTTGGGCAACCGAAAGCCATGTGGACTTTGTATGGACACCGAAGCACTGAATACCTACTAGTAGATATGAGGGTATATCGCTGTATATTATTTTTTTTTATCTGGGAGACTGATTCTGTTGCAATGTCAAGGAGCAAAATTTCGTAATCTCCAACCTTCATAACTGGGCAATAAAAGGACGAAGTGCATGTCGTGAAATTGGTTCTTGCACCAGAAGGTCAATTAAAGGTATTGACAATTCACATATTGGATTTTATTACGTATGATTAGACAAAAGTTCAATTCTTTAAAATGAATAACAAGTGATCCGTTATCATTTTTTGTAGTATATGGCCAATTTGAAAACAAATGAGTCAAGTCTTATAATGAAACGCTGCTTTTTTGCTTAATAGTCATATTTTATAAGCGGTGAGTGAAGTTCTGTAATGCTATGTTACATGTACTGCAAAACATCAGAGGGAGGAATAGGCTATGTAAATAAAATACAATTAATCTGTATCTAAGAAGATGCTTTTGTGTAATATTCTTTCTAAATCTGCATACCGTACATGTATTATATTTGGCCTGTACGATATTTGCTGTAAATTTAATTTTCAGCAAGTTAGCCTAGTTTGGATTTATCGCTATCCGAAGTTGCCAGTTATAACAGTTAATAAACAAGACATTTAGCGATGTACTTTAATTAGTGGATTCCGCTTACCGCCAAAATCGCTAAATAGAATACACCGCTAAATGTAATATGTTTACAGTATTTGGTTGAGTTATAATGCATTTTTCTTCATTTTATAATAACACATTAAATATTAAATTAATTTATTTTTTATTTTAGGATGCGATTCCAATCATTACGGACCTGATTGCTTAATGGAATGTAGTGTTAGCTGTAAAAGACAGACGTGTGACAATGTCAACGGATCCTCTACCTACGGATGTGAAATGGGATTTTATTCAGAAAAGTGTGAACAGATTTGCAGTCCATCATGTCCTTCAGCCTGCAACAGATTATCAGGGGAATGTGTTGGCTATTGTCCGATAGGCAATATGGAGATATTTGTGATAAAATATGCAGCCCAAATTGTAAAAATGTATGCAGTAAAATTAACGGTTTTTGCGATTCTGGGTGCATTTTTGGAAAGTTTGGCGCTGACTGTCTCAGATCTTGTGGAGCAGGTTGCCTATCCGGTTGTCATCAAAATGACGGAAGTTGCCAATGTAAAACAGGATGGCAGGGTCAAAACTGTGATGGTTAATAGGATTATTATACTCAAATACTTTATTTAAATATTTGCTTCAGAGTGAACAAAATTAAATTTAAAAAAAATGTATCTTCATACCGTTTGTTGAACTTGGAAATTTTTTATATTTTTGATTAAATTTGCTCTCTTTGTATTTTTAAAGGATGCGATTTAAACCATTATGGTCATGATTGTTCCACAAAATGTAGTGCAAATTGTAAAAGGAGGACCTGTAACATTGATACTGGATCCTGTACCTATGGATGTGAAAGGGGATTTTATTTGGAAAAGTGTGAACAAGCATGCAGTCCAACATGTCCGTCAGCCTGCAAGAGACAATCAGGGGAATGTGAGGGCAAATGTCCAGTTGGCAAGTATGGAAGTTATTGCAATAAAACTTGCAGCCGAACATGTAACGATGGATGCAGTAAAATCGATGGTTTATGCACTTCTGGGTGCATTGACGGTAAATTCGGCGCAGCTTGTCTCCAGACCTGTAGTGATGGGTGCATTTCCGGTTGTCATCAATTCGATGGGAGCTGTACATGTAAGACAGGATGGCAGGGACTTCATTGTGATGGTAAAATCACAAAATAATAAAAAAAAAAAAAAAGTGATTTTTTGTAAATACTTTTAGTACAAAAATCTACCTTCTTAAAGTAAGTAAATCATTTCATATTTTGATTTCGTGTATCAAAATTAAACACGTTTATTTTCATTCCTTGTTGGTTTTTCAATGACTCAGAAATGTAACATATTTTGTTTTCATGTTCCATTCTCTATAAATGATATATTTTTTTTTCAACAGAGTGTACACCAAATAACTACGGTGAAAAATGTTACCAGAAGTGTAGCTCAAACTGCCTAAACGGAACTTGTCTCCGAAATAATGGGTCTTGCATTGGGGGGTGCAAAGGCAACTTCACGGGCGATACGTGTACACTAGGTAAGATCAAAAGAATCTTTGTGACAGGTTAGAATCTGAGGCATTGCATATTAACATTGAAGTCAATGTTACCTTCTATTATTTTTGGGGCCATTTTTCATGTTTCATAAATTTATTCAAGAGGAATGCAAACCAATTCACAGTTTTGAAAAATATACTACTAATCTCGAGTTATTTGACAAAGACAACGTACTGCAATCGTTTGATAATTGCCGCTTCTTTTTTAAAATAAAGGATACATATTCTTCCTTCATACAAAACAAAATAAAAAGGCGGTTATTTTTAGTTTTACATTTTTGTTGATCAAGTACATGAATGTTGAAAAAAACCTGTTAATTAATAAATCGCTTCAAGAAGTTTGTTTTGAAGAAAAAAAATCTCGTTTTATGAGAAGAATTGCCAAACCATTGATTGAGACCGGAGCTACACTTACAGTGAGTTTATTCAAATTCCTGTTTTTTTTTTTAATTCAATTGCTAATTTTTATATCTGTTTTTTAAATTAAGATCATTATTTTTTTAAAGCCCGAACTGCAGATAGGAAGAAACTCAAATGCATTGATATACATATAACATTAAACTTTGTAAAAGTAAATATCCCTTAGTGTACGCATTTAATCTTGATCAACCATATTCGTTTTCTTTTTAAATTAAGATCATAATTAAAATTTTGAAGTCCAAACTGGAAAGGGGAAGGAATTCTTACATTCTAGGACAAAAATCAACATGCATTAGCAAAGTTTTTGAAAAGATAGAAATTGATTAACATTTTGTATACTTGAATGTAGCAAACTATTCCTCCCAAGTATTGGAACTCTTCAATTCCAGGGAAAAAGATAATAAAGTTCAATCTACATTGTGTATGTGTATGTAAGATGTTTCATATTTATATGGTTATTTACTCTTATCGTATTTTTTTCTTTTGAATATGATTTAGTAGAATTTTTGTGTTTGAATTTTGCACAAAAACAATGATAAGATATGCGATTTTAAGAATTTTGTTTCATTGGGTTCCTTGGGTTCCTATTAAATAAATAATAATCTATATGTTTTTTCATATTATGTACTCAAAAGCGTAATACGTAATACATAAATTAATAAATAGATAAATAATGATGATAACATATCTCATTTAAAAAAAGAAATCTGATATTGATATTAATATTTTTAATGATTTATTTTAATAGTAGTAATTGAAGACATATGTTGAAATTGTGCAAGGTATTTAAACGATATTTTAGTTGATAGATATCTATCCTCAGAAATGAAAGTATGAGAGCAATGATACAGTACAGAACGCATGTACCAGTGGTCAGATGAGAATCGGGAATAATATGTGAGTGTTCAAATTTCTTTGCATTCAGTCTTTATAATTTTTAATCTAAGCGTAAATTAATTGTTAATTATAAAAAAAAATGTTGAATAGTACAATAACTTATGCGTATATGGATTATATGCAATTCATCTCAAATGTCGTTTATGTCAATTGTTAAAATCTATCAATGGTTTATTTACTTTCATTTACAGGCCAAGTGGTTTACCGCACTTTTGATTTCATCACACTGTGAAAGGATATCATTTTAATTCAGTAAATAAATTACATTATCGCCGCTTCAATATATTACTAAGGAGTCAATCTTTCTATGTAATCTAACTTTTTTCCTTTTTTAATAGGATGATCAGAAATGGGCAGATATTTGAATGTGACAGTCTTAATTACATTGTGAAATTGAGCCATCTACGTTGTCGAATTAAATTTGATAATTCTGCGTAGATAAACAATATCCGATTGCTTTCAAGTATAATTAAATGCATAATGCTCAAATATCTAATCGTATCATTATCTGATATATGCTAACAGTTCTATATATATTTCCAGTGAAAACAATCTATCGAAAGTACATGTAATTATAATTTGGAATATTTTGAAAATCATACATGTATCATATGAGACAGAAGTCTTTGGTTATCATATAAGGACAACTAAAATATCAATAACGTTGCTGTTCTCACAGTTTTTATGTTAAACTACAATATGTACATTTTCATGCATATTAAAGCAATGTGAGCTGCAATTTTGATGTCGGAATTCTTACTGCAAAATCGTAAATAACTTATTCCTTGACAGTAAAAATGAATGTTTATAAAAACTTCTATTGTTCATATTTGCGATGTAAGAACTATCTATAAGCTTAGACTGAATCAAAATGACACAATTCTCGTCCTGTACAATATTTTTTTTTCTTATAAAATATTATTTTACCTCTACTGTAATTACTCTATATAAAATTAATACCATAAATCTGTCTATTTTCCCGAGAAGAAACTATTGCCCTCTTCTGAGGACTACACCCTGGAAATTCAGAGCTACTCCGTGAGACTACTCCCTCATGAATTTTAATTAGCATTTTTAGGTCACCTGAGTAACTCAGGTGACCTATTGCTATCCGTTTTCGTCCGTCGTCGTGCGTCGTGTGTCGTGTGTTAACATTTGAACATTTTCAGCTTCTTCTCTGAAACCACTGAACCAATTTCAACAAAATTTGGTATACAGCATCTATGGGTGGAGGGGAACAAAAATTGTGAATTTCATGGTCCCCGCCCCCCTGGGGCCTGAGGGGTGGGGCCAAAACCACTATAATTATTGCAATATTTAAAAATCTTCTTCTTTACTCATGGACATCAAGCAGGCAAACTGTTTGCCTGAATGTAATGAGCATTGAGTCCTCTACCAAAATTGTGAAATTCATGGCCCCAGGGTCAGGGGTTCTAGTGCTAGGGCAGGGCTCTATAGATTATATAGTGAAAATGCATTATTTCTTTGAAAATCTTCTTCTCTGCTCCTGGGTATTAAATATACTAACTAAGCACATAGTTATGATGAGCAAAAGTGCCTCTTCCAGATTTGTGAATTTTATGGCCCCAGGGTCAGGGTTTCTGGTGTTAGGGCGGGGCTCTATTGATTATATAGTGAAAATGCATTAATTCTTTGAAAATCTTCTTCTCTGCTTCTGGGTATTAAATAAACTAAGTACATAGTTATGATGAGCAAGAGTGCCTCCTACAAAATTGTGAATTTTATGGCTCCAGGGTCAGGGGTTCTGGTGTTAGGGCGGGGCTGTATTGTTTATATAATGAAAATGCATTTATTCTTTGAAAATCTTCTTCTCTGCTTTTGGGTATTAAATAAACTCACTAAGCACATAGTTATGATGACCAAGAGTGCCTCTTCCAAAAATTGTGAATTTTATGGCCCCAGGGTCAGGGGTTCTGGTGTTAGGGTGGGGCTATATTGATTATATAGTGAAAATGCATTTATTCTTTGAAAATCTTCTTCTCTGCTCCTGGGTATTAAATATACTAACTAAGTACATAGTTATGATGAGCAAAAGTGCCTCCTACAAAATTGTGAATTTTATGGCCCCAGGGTCAGGGGTTCTGGTGTTAGGGCAGGGCTCCATTGATTATATAGTGAAAATGCATTATATTCTTTGAAAATCTTCTTCTCTGCTTCTGTGTATTAAATAAACTAACTAAGTACATAGTTATGATGAGCAAGAGTGCCTCTTCCAAAATAGTGAATTTTATGGCCCCAGGGTTAGGGGTTCTGGTGTTAGGGCGGGGCTCTATTGATTATATAGTAAAAATACATTAATTCTTTTAAGATATTTTCCTTTGCTTCTGGGTTTTATGCCAATGATCCAAGTATATATATATTTATGATGAAGAAAGATGCATCTAGCAAAGTGGTTTTTTTTATGCCCCCAGGGTCAGGAGGGGGGGAGGGGGTTACATAGTCTGAAAATAAATCAATGCTTTGAAATCTGCTCTTTGGTATTAATCAACCATTTTATGATAAAATTTGCAAAATTTTGAAAAACATGTATGTGGCCCATGGGTCAGTGGTTCCTTTAGGGTGAGGTGCACAACTGGGTATAAAGTGGAAGTGCATTTTCTCTTTGTTACTCTGATCTACCTCTGGGTATTAAGTAAACTGAGTAAGCATGCTAAGTTAATAATTATGATAAGCAATGGTGCCTCTTTCAAAATTGTAAATTGTGAATTTCATGGCCTCTGGTTTAAATCATGAACCAAATTTAATTGTTTGAAAGTTGTTACACAATACTCAGGTGACCTATAAGGCCCGTGGGCCTCTTGTTTTGTTAAACTGGCCCAAGTCTTCCAACAAAATGTCAGAATTCCTATGAATACCAATTGCATCCCATTATAAGCAGATTTATTTTTGTGTCCATATAATGCAGATTTATTAGCTATCCGTTATTTGCTATCCGTTTCGTCCGCCGTCGTCATGTGTCATGTGTTAACATTTGAACATTTTCAGCTTCTTCTCTGAAACCATTAAGTAGACTAACTATGCACATAGTTATGATGAGCAAGAAAGCCTCTTCCAAAATTGTGAATTTTATGGCCCCAGGGTCACGGGTTCTGGTGTTAGGGCAGGGCTCTATTGATTATATAGTGAAAACACATTAATTCTTTAGAAAATCTTCTTCTCTGTTTCCTGGGTATTATATAAACTAAGTTAAAGTACATAGTTATAATGAGCAAGAAAGCCTCATCCAGAATTGTGAATTTTATGGCCCTAGGGTCAGGGGTTCTGGTGTTACGGCGGGGCTCTATTGATTACATAGTGAAAATACATTAATTCTTTGAAAATCTTCTCTGCTCCTGGGTATTAAACAGATAAACTACCTATATAGTTATGAAGAGCAAGGGCCCTTCTTCTAGAATTGAGAATTTCAAGGCCCCTGGGTCAGGGGTACCATAGAGGGGGGGGGGGCTCTATTTATCTACTGAAAATGAATTGTTTGAAATTTGCTCCTTGGTATTAATCAAACATTTTTGATAAGCAAGGGTGCCTTTTCCAAAATTGTGAAATTTGTGGACCTACGGTCAGGGGTTCATGTGTGATAGGGGCACTTCTGATTATTGCTGAATATAAGCCAAAAATAAAAGTAGTCGTGTTTCCTGCTTACTGACCTACCCTATTTTTATTGCAGCCGACTAAAAAAGTTTTTTTTTAGTTTTTGGGGGTAAAATCAGAAGTTTTTGGAATTTCATGTTCCAAAACTGAAAAAAATATATATTCAAGTGGTATTTTAAATATGGACTTTCATAAAATACCACTTGAGTTGTGCATCAAAAGACATGAAATTTAATTTTAAAAGGCAATATTGACCTATGGCATGTTTAATTTGATCTTGTATTAGTTCATA